TAATTATATTATTATTATTATTACTATTTTATAAGTATAAATATATACAAGATGTTAATTTTTAAGTATTTTTGCCCTCTTTAAATGCTTTTAAATGCTTCAAATTCTGATATTTTTAATTATCAAATAGAGACCATAATTTCAAATGCTTACATTGTTGTTTATCATTTAGGGACTGTTTTGTGTTGTATTGATTGAGAATAGCAGTTATCAAATTATTTAACTTTATATGCTAATTTGGTTTGTTTATATGAATATTTTATTATTAATATGTATAACTTTACTACTTAAAACCTGATGGTTATACATTCGACAGCATTTGAAAACAAATTCAGAATTTGAATAAATTTATAGTTAAAGCATTAAAATTGGACAAGCATGCAAAAAAAATCACTTTATATATTATTATGTAACAAATTATTGTTTTCTTAAGTAAGTCTTGTCTTTTGTGTTTCTTTTATGATGCTCTGATGTAATGCATTTATTTTTATTTTTATTATTTTTTATCTATTTCGATGGGACATAATTTATACCTTTTTTAAAATCATTATTGCTATACTTATAGCCCCATATTAAGGAGACATTTAAATCTGTTTCCAATATTTAGTACTGACGAATTTGTACTTTGTTCGATAATAATTTATGTTAATAACTAAGTTTTCATAAGAATAAACTATATTTGTAGATTAGTGTGTAAGATTTTTTTTTTTTCAATATATACCTACATTTGAATTGATTATAATTTGTTGTGTACAAATATTGTGTTACATTCTTTATACTCCTTTAACTTATTCATGTGTGCATTTTACAAGGCCATTTGTTTACCTATATTCTTCCAAATATTATACATCTTCTGGTATGTATTAAAAATGATTCAAATTAAAAACAATATTTGTGTGCTAAATAAAAATGTTAATAAACAATTTATTAAATAATGTTTAAATTATTTAATGATATATAAATATATAATAATTAACACTTGCTATCACAAACAGCTACATTTCACCAAACAAATCTAAGAAAACTCATCAGTAGACCATGATGGAATAATTACTTGTTAATTAAATAATAATAACGAAGGCTGGGACATTGTTGCACTTTTGGTGTTCTGATCTGTTCAAATTTACATTTGTTGATACTGTTCAGTATGTATTCTATTGTTGTTTTAAATGTTTAAATCTATTTTATATTACTTAAGTCAATAGCCCTTAATAACTTGATATAATTAAAAAAGCCATATGTTAATTTTTTGAGCTTGGATCATAATAATTTTTTTCCCAAAGTAATAAAGTCCAAAATGATTAAAACATTTTTCTATTTACCAAACCAATTATCGGTGGCCTGTTTCAAGAAATCTATGTAATTTAACTATTTAACACATAGTAGTGATCGTTATTTATCCATTATATAATATACAGTATACAGACATATGTCAACCATACATAGAGTATTATTCTGACTTATCCACTTGTTGGTGACCTGGTCATATTCATAGATACTGTAGTCAAGCTCAACTAATGTATGCCTATATTATAATGTAATTAAAAAGTGTGTGTATATGTATATTACATACAACATCTAACGAATTAAGCATCCATTCAACRTTATTAAGATTAAGAGGATGTCAGTATAATATTTTTTTTGTTTCTTAGAATCATGCGCAACATAGATAAAACGCTTTCACCTAAGATCGTTTTTTTTTTTTTAATAACCTTTAAGTAAAATCACATATTATAAAAACCATAAAAAATAATACATTTGAGGATATGACATCGATTCTACATAAATGTGTTTGGTCTATGTTGCACGTGTGCTAAAGAAAGAAACAAATAATGAGCAGACATTCTCCTTAGGTATGAATATTTAGACAAAAGAACAAATTATAAGAATAATTTACATATTATAATTAAATTATTCACGACACATTAAAAACAAAATGTATATATTACAATTTTTATGATTACATATATTTAACTCATATGCACCTTGATCTTTTACGTTTTTAATTTCGAGTAATATTTAAAACATTTATACAGTAATTTCTGGTTATCTGTGAGGTTAAGGTTCCAGCAAGGTTGTGYGAATAATGAGAATTTAATACTGAACCAGTTTGAATAGTGGCGTTAAAAAAGATGAATTATCAAACAAATTTCTGCCTCAACTGCAGATAATCAAAACGATGGTTAAAAAATGAATTGATAACCAGGCATTGCAGTATATTTTTATTTTTTACACAATAATTTATTATAACATTTTTAAAAGTAGGTATTCAACAGTATTTCACAATTTATACAAGAATAACATTTTTTTTTTATTAGAATAAGCCTCGCAGCGAAGGCCACTGGCTGACATTTGACAATTAACAATTATAGTATAAGATTAGTTATTACAATGATTACAAGAATAAAATATTTTTTTATAAAATAGCTTATTATTCCAAATGATATAATTTAAGACCCATAGTAATRCAATATTATCATTTATACAATTTTATAGGTTCTCAWAATTAAAGTCTATTTTTTTATTTTCATTATTCCTTTTGTCCTAAGGTATCGTACAATGAAAGGTACAGATATAAGCGTTATTGAAATGCGTACAGGAGCAAAAGATTTATGAATGGCATACGCAATGATAAACTGACTCGCTCCAGCTACGATTTTAGTGTTTTCGTTTGCGTTTGAGAAACCCATCCAACTAATCCATTGTTGGACGTCAACACCATTGGAAATGAAAAAATACACAGAACCCAAAGATATCAATGAGATTCCAACATGGAACACAATTAACACAGAACCGTATTCTTTAGCAGCAATTTTCAGTTTTTCACGTGGAGTCAACTCTGACGGTTTTGCATGACAAAAACGATTAAAGGAAAACCATGGTGGATGTTGTACTGATGGCTTAGTCCAGCGGTTCAACTGTCGCGTTTGACCATGTTGTGGAATCGATACAAATCTGGTAGAGTAAGAACTACAACGAAAACCTCTAATGCCGGGACCGCTTATTTTCGGAGACGATATCAAAGCTTTCAACATAATTTAACCGTGACACTAGAATATAACATTTAACTTGAAAGGATAACTGAAAATGAAATGGTTTGAAATATTACGAACAACTGAGTAACTTCCAACGTCGTGTCAGTTCACTCAGTTCTGATTTATTTGTCATAAACTCATTACACTCAGAACTTCAAAATCGCAGCTGATAACAGTGATAATAACTTATCAGTATAGACTTTTTTTTTTATACTATACCGCGGAAACTAAGGCCATTGGGAAGGGGGTAGTACTGTATGTTTTATAGAATGGTAGGTTGGTCGTTGGTTACACGTGGGTGAGAGTTTTGACAGAATTTCTATCGGGGCACCTGTAGGTTTCTGCCATGCCCCGGGGTGGGGGATGGCGTCACTTGTTCTCCGGACACCGTGACTTGCCGGGAGAAAAATGTCGCCCGATGGTCGAGGATCGAACCCGGTCCGGCTGAGCCACAGCCGACGCGTTAGACCGTTCGGCCACCTCGTCCCCAGTTGTAAACTTGTTGTAGCGTAGAATGAGACCTTAGACCAGGGGTCGGGAACTTTTTCGAAGGAAAGAGCCATTTTTCGAAAAAATACAAAAACTATGATATCCAGGGTCCAGGGAGCCGCACTGCAGGTTTGAACAAATTTTTTTTAGTAGCCAGTAGGCAATAAAAACATTATATAATAAGTCTTAAATTTAGAAAATATAGAAAAACTTTTTTCATTAATTCATTATTATTTATACTTATATTTATATATGTTTATATTATTATTATTATTGTTTATACAAATTTAATCAGCGCCGGATAGACAAGGTATCGGCSCACCGAGTTTTAGTTTTTTAACCGGCCCTAAAAGGGGCCTTTTTCAAATAAAAATGTATAAATTGATCTAGATTTGACGTAGCGCACAGAGTTAAATAAATGTATTCAAATTTGTGTTATGAAATAATTGCCCAAACACTTACGATCGACATTTTTTTTGAGCGGCCCACCGAGATTTTCTCGGGAGCTCGCCTAACCAATCCGGCCCTGAATTTAATATTTTTTGGTATAATAATAATATAATTTATATATTTTACGGATATCGATATATTAATAACTATCCATAGAGCCGCGGGAACCTGCCTAAGACCTATAAAATCTTTAATAACTTTATGAATGAGACGTATTCTGTGAGTGCTCAGTGCWCCGGAGCCATATTAATGAAAATTACATATTAATATAACCTATGTTTATGAAGTGCATGACAGAAATATTCACTATTCAGTGGCGCTGAACTCAATGAACTCATATTGTTTTCGCCGATGCCGATCCTACGACTACGGCGGTTATCGGCAACGACTCGCGTTTTGTATTGAGGACGGGAGCGGGAGGGGTTACCCACACAAGTGCAGAAAATAAAAGCTTTGCGTAGAAAAATATTACGGCCGGCGACCGTGCGGTATATTATAATTTATAATATAATATAAATTATTAAAAGATAATAGTATTAAGCATAGGAAATTTAATTATTATAATATGCATTATGCGGGCGCCCATGACAATAACATAAATGAATATAATATAATATTGAGTACAACGACCTAAAATGTCGTAATGTATAAAAAAAATATATAATAATAATAAAGTTGAATAATTTGACACTAAGGTCGCAATAACAAATAATAATACTATTGGCAGTAGGCCACTGACCACGAGTGGACAAAATATAATAATATATTACGTAAGTATACCTAATATTATGAACTGACCGCAAGAGCAATAATGGACACGTTGACGTCTGATGATCCCACGATGTAGAGCGACGATAATCTTATAGAAAAAAAAAACTTGACTCAACCCGATCACACGTTGACGACAATCACACCTCGTGTTCACACGAKGTTTTTGCAACACGCAAAGATGGTGAACGATCACGACGTAATGCTCAGTTCGCGACTGTTGGAAAAAGACAAGACTCAAGAATACAAGCGGACGCCGCGCTGGCTATCGGCAGACGGATTGTCACCTGGCAGTGGAGGGGGGAGCTTTGCCGGACACTTTATCTCCTTGATCTTATCTCCAYCACACCTGTGTTATCCCGAGCAATCGAGCAAACATAAATAGGTGGCCAAAAAAACCGTTTCGCGATCGAACACATATATTATGTGAAGCKATCATCGCTTCATTTCTTAAATGTGTGGGTGGGTGAGTGTAGGTCAGTGGCGCACACTGCAGGATTCAAGGGTAGCAGCTGCTACATCTGATTTTTTTGTTAGGTGGGTGGGTACCGTGGGTGGATGTCTCCAAGTCCCAAAAATATCTACAAAGTAACAATTCTACAATGTAAAAAAAAAAATTAAAAATAAACTATTAAAATATACTATAGGCAATAGGCTATAGCTWTTAGACTAACAACAAAGTGATTAATGTATGTTGATATTGCAAAGGTAAATTTTTTGTTTGTTTATTGTGTGAGTACACGGCGCAATCGGGAGGAGATAAAAATTCAAAATTCCTAGCAACTTTCAAAAGCGACTTAAAAAACAAACAAAATATTTAGGAAAAATCGAAAAATCGAACGTACATTCACAATCGTTTTTATGATTGTCTGAAGTAAAAAAAACGAAATTCTTATTAGAATCACAAAAATATACAAATTATTTTGAGTTAGAAATTTATAAAAAAAAAAACGGAAAAGTGGATGTCGCTCTGCTGTACAGTAGGTTATAAGTGGGTTACTGTAATGGATGGAATTAAATTTGAATCCAATTATAGTAGGTACCTATATCATTGTATAATTTATATACGAAAAACGATTCTGAGCGGAGATGGYTTATCTGTCTATAGGTCATAGCCCATAGGATATATATTATAGATTATTATYWGATACTTATTAAAATATTTGACTTTCCGGTGGACATTTTTGTTTTTTGATAAAGGTACTAGGTAGACAAACTTATAAGGAATCTCGAATAAGCTTATATTAATGAAAATAAGTTAAGTTAAAAATTAAATTTTAAAAAGTTTAGTTAAAAAGTTAAAATTAACATAGCTTTTTAACTCGTTTATGCGCCCAGGCTTGAATAGTAGAAAAATGTTTTATGTACTACCTACAAGAATAATATTGATTAATTTTCATTCAGGCATGCAGAAAAACTAAAAATCGAACACTTGAAATTTATGTACTTATATTACATAGCCTACACGCCGTGTTACATTTAATGGGTAATATCGAGTGTGTCATGATTACTCAGGTTCTATTATAAGTACAGTAAGTAGTAAGTCATTTTTATGTATCTGCAAACGCAAAYAGTTAATTTGTAAGTTAATAAGCCGGTTTCACTTATTCACAATTATATGTATTCAGCTTTCAGTATTTCGGCTGATCGGTCGGATCACAATAATTTTTGAGTTGACTAAAACAATGATTTCACAGTTTATTTAGATGTATATGTTTAGTAAATATACATCGAAAGAAATTCCAAATCAATTAACACTTCGTAAAGGCTATGTAAATGACATTTATGAAGACACTATGGAAAATTAGAAATTTTTTATCAGCTAAAATAATCTGGTTTCAATTTTTTTAGAGCATATTTATTGATTTTTAGGTACACAAAGTGCGTGCATATTTTTAGATTTCTAAGTACCTAGAAATCCTCAGCCCAGAAATCTTGTTTWACAAATTACGACAAGCCGCACATAATAATATTAGGTGGGTAATATATTTAGGTATATATCATAGAAATCGGTCCTCTTAAAACACAYGCTTATTACATATAGTCTTGTATGTTCTCTTTTTCGTATAGCACCAGTGTCAACTGTCACTAAACTCATTGAATATCGATGTAAGTATGTAATTTCAATATTTTTCACTTTTCCACCCTTTTTTTCATTGCTCATTAACCATTCTGATAGATGTTTATGACACCAACAATTTTTTTAAAGTAAGATATGTTTCATATACCCTCGTAGATATCGCGCATTCGCCTCAACATAAATAATTATGTTTATTATAGTTTATTATTGTGACAAATTATATCAAAACTTTAAAAAATATTAAAAATGAAATCCAAATTAAATGAAAATAGTATAAAATTCATATAGCAAAACAAACAAAATTGAATTAAAATATCTAAGTTGAATAAATATTTAGGCAATGGTATATCATTGAATACAATCATAAACGTATTTGAACATTTTTACTCAAATACTTTACAACGCCGATACAATAATTTATATTATATCATTACGCTGCAGATGATATTATCTATATAGGCAAGCGCACTCGTTATCGGCCGAACGGTTTGATCTTTCGGACGCCTGTACCGTGGTCACAGCAAACGCATGTCGCCGTTGACTCGCGCCTGCACAGACACTTAACCGATCCGTCGACGGCCGTTTCGGTGGCGTTCCCGTCACCGGCCACYGTCGCTGCCGCATTCGGTCTACCGCTATCCGTGGCCACCCGTACTTTTTGCACCTTGGATATGACGTTAATGTTCTCCTTCCGAGCCGGCAACGTTTTCTTCAGCGACAGCTGCCTGGAACGGTCTGTCTGCTGTTCCCGCCGATTGCCTGCACCGCCGCTAACGCTGTTCGCGCTGCACAGGCTGCCGGGCGGCGCGGTGTCCGCGGCGTGAGGAAAACGCCACAGGAATATGCCGCCGTCCGCACTCGTGCTCACCACGAATCTACCATCCGGGCTCACCTTCACGTTGGTCACTACCCCCGCGTGGCCCACCCCTACGTGCGTGGGCACTCCCTCGTTGTACAGCCACACCTTCACCATCTGATCTGAACTGCCGGTTACGATGTACTTACCTGTGGAAACAACGTAATTATCTATTTACTATATTTACATGCAGGGTGACGCATCAAAATAATATTATTAAATTACATTGTCCTAATATCAAAAGCTATGATCAAGCCTTAAGGGAAAATTCTAACAATATTTCAAMCTTTTTAAAAATAACCAAACTGTATATAASTTTATATAATTTTATATTTTTTCTTTGATCTTTTTTCCTTTTCTACATTGCACATATCAAAAATAATTATATTGTAATATTGTAAAATGTATTGTAAATTGTACCTTATTGTAGAAGTAATATTTAAATATRTAAGCCTACTAATAATCCTACTAAGATAGCACGGGGACAACAAATTCGTCTTGGTTATTAATTTGTGT